TTTTTTTTTCCCCTCGAGACAAGGTTTCTCTTGTATAGCTCTGGTTATCCTAGAACTCACTCTGTAGACCAGGCTGACCTCAAACTCATAGATCTGCCTCCCACATGCTGGGATTAAAGGTGTGCACCACCACTATCTAGTTCAGATTCTTAATATGTGGGGCAGGTAGAACAGTGTCACCAGTCAGAAAAACTGGTAAGGTCGAGCAGATTAAGGAACTCTGGCAATTCTCATCCCTGGTTCCTGTCCTGAAATACAAGACCATGACACCCCACTAGAGGACCATGATAACTGGTCACAAAGCATAGAGCCCAGAGTTCTCCATGCTAATGAGCTATCTTGATGGGCCGGCAGGAGGGTTTAGCCAGTAAGCTTCCCTTCCCAGACAGCTTGGACAAGGAAGGACCCTCTCTGATCAAGAACCACCACCATGAGGAGACTATGCTCCTGACACCCTGAGCTAAGCCAGAGTCCCCTGACCCTGGGCTCATTGCCAGCCCACTGGCTTCCATTCTCAACTCCTTGTGGTTCCCAGCCACTTCTCACCCCAAGAAACATGGAGTGAAGCCCCCATCTGAGACATTTTGCCTCCCCTGAGCAGTGTGTCAGAGAATCCCGCAAGCCCAGCACCCCATGGCAGTGAGGAACATAGCCTAGTGCCCCTGCATTTCATCTCCCAAGCAGCAGCCCAAAACCCCAGCTGAGGTGAAATGCAGAACCGCATTAATACTTTAACAAAAATTGCTTGATTAGAAATCAAACATTTTTTGAAAATTTTTCACTTAAGTTTTGCACACCTATGGTGGTTTAAATATGCTTGGCCCATGGGAAGTGGCACTAGTAGGAGGTGTGGCCTTGTTAGAGTGTGTCACTGTGGAGTCAGTGGGGGTCTTTGAGGACTCATGTATATGCTCAAGTCTGGCCAGTGTGACAATCTCCTGCTGCCTGTAGATCAAGATATAGAACTCTCAGCTCCTCCAGGACCATCTCTGCCTGCCTGCACACTGTCGTGCTTCCTGCCATGATGATAATAGATCGAACTGAAACTGTAAGCCAGCCGGCCCCAATTAAATGTTTTCGTTTATAAGAGTTGCCTTGGTCATGGTATCTCTTTACAGCAGTAAAACCCAAACTAAGACAAGTTGGTATCAGGGACTCTGGGTGTAAGGGTCCAAAAATCGCTGAAGGCAGACCCCAGACTCAGATAGTAATCAAAAACAAAGCGTTTATTCTGCAGAAACAGCCAGCATTTAGGGGTTAATTATTCTTTAAAGTGGTGACCCCAGACAAAGACACACAGACCTTATAGGGAACCATAGGAATTCTCTAGAAGGATTAGGTAATCTACAATTTCATTGGTGGGTGCTAGGGTGATCAGGTCCACATATCTATGTCATGAGCATTCAATCATGTGATGAAGTAGGACAGACCAGAACAGATGGCCCATTCTGAGATAAGACACTTCCCCATTTTTGTGGTAATACCCAGGCTGTTCTTTGGGAGGGGGTTTTATGAGCTTGTTTTGGCTTTTATGGGCTGTACTTAGAGCTGATGTCTTATGACCTTGTTTCTGGGGCTTATGGTCTATTCCTGTGTAGGACCTTGAAAGGCAGCCTGTTTTCTGTCTTGAACACAGGCTAGAAACCCAGGAGACATCAGGTGATCCTGAGGGGCCCCAGGTGACCCTGAGTGACCACAGGTGACCCTAAGACGGCAGGCATTTTGCCACACCCCTAGACTCCAGGCTCCTGACACAAGGCCGCAGCCCTCTATGGATTTGTGTTTTTCAATCACATAGACCCCAGCCCCTCCACAGGTAGAGGACAGTCACATAGTCTCAAGACAGATCTCCATTTTAATGAGGTACCTAAAGGCCAGAAGGGCTTTGCCAATTAAGCTTTCCTCCCCAGACCCTCCTCCCTACAAAAGGGATTTAACCTCAGGCCAGCCCTGAGAAATGAGAGTATGTTTTCTCATCTACTTTCCACCATGACAATAAACATCTTAAAACCGTGGA